GAACGGGGACTAATAAATACTTACGTTCTGATTCTGGTATGGAACTAGTGATTGAGGAGCTTGTTGACGTCATTGATGTCATTGACGGACTCATCGGGCCTGGACGTCCATATTCTTGAGTGAGGAAAATCTGGAAATAATGTTTCCGTTTAATGAACAACTAGACACAGGAAAAGCACATCATGCAGGAATGGGATGAATGGGAAGGATTAAAACAAGGATGGATGTCATAGGTCACAGTTCACAGAATTACCAAATTAGAAAGTTACCAACTACACTGGTTCAAACTTCATTTCAGAACTTGTTTGACAATGTCCTATTTATATTTCATAAATAGTTGTGGCATTCAAGTATACAATGTGTAATGATATGGGGAGGTCAGATTTATTGGAACTGAACTAGGAAGACCATCTCATGGATATTGAGCAACAGCTACGTCCATTTCTTGGGACAATGATATGAAATGAACACAATGCAAAGGAAAGTAAAACAATTAGGTTAAACTTTAAAGCTTCCATGCAAAAAGCAAGGAGGGGAGGGGAGGAGGGAAAGGAGGGGAGGGGGCATGCATCACAAACTTTATGAATGTTACAACTGCATTACATAAATTACGACAAGCATTGATAACCTTTGACCTTGAGTGGTTATAATGAGAACACCTGCCATAACACTGGTGCACATATTTTCCAAATTCTCAGTAGCAATCTTTGATAATTCCAGATGAAAATGAAAAAATCCAATTTTAAATTCATAACTTGATAAGAAATCACATAAAAAAGTAGGTCACGTTCACACAAAAAGTTTATCCTAAATTTGTGGTTATTTTCTAACAGATTTATAAGAAAAGAAAAACATTCTAGGAAAGATACAAGTTCCGTAGTTCTACCTCATCAAAATTACCAAAAACCCAATCTAAAACTGGAGTTCAATAGGTATCATATGCTACAATTTGGTTTACAAATCAGAAAAACAAAACAAAATTTGTCGAATTTGAAAACAGCTTTGAATCATTTAAATTTTGTTGCCAGAAATGGTGTTTGTTAACAGTTTTCACGATAATAGATGCCTACAGAATACCATTTGAATTATCACCAATACATATTGTTACATCTCTATACATGCCCTGTAGAGGGCACACTGTAGTCTCCTTTACTGACTTTAAATCAAAAGCATGTACAAATGTAACTTACGTTTCATTGCATTTGTGTGAGCTACCCAAGCACCAGGGTCGATGGGTCTGACAGGTTCACCTAAATATGGACAGAATAAAAGCCATTCTAAGTACATGACTGGGAGGGGAAGATGTACAGGAACACTAACAGAACACCTCTTTACTTGTTAAAATCTATATTGAAATAATTATCATGCCAAACTGAGTTATTGTGATTGCTAAAAATGATGAACAGATGGAGTGATGAGCAGAAAAACATTGTTAAAACACAGAATGAAATGCTCTCATAAAGATCATATGTATAGCGTCCTCTTGTGATGCATAGAGCGCCACCTAGAGGCTTAGAAATTTTATTTATAACCCCAACTCTTGAGATGTATGATACAAGAAATTCATATCATCTGACAAACTATGTCCAGTCTGAGCTCTATCATATTTTAGCTCCAGGTCTAACACCAAATTTCAATTCTCTCAAATAGTATTTCTGTCCCATTTCCATAATAATATTCAACATTTTCACGTTATAATTTATAATTGACACATTTTTTTAAAACATGTTCCTGTTGATTTACACCACTTCTTCAGCAACACAGTGAACAACATAGATATACAAGATCCTACAAAATCAGGTCAAAATCTGCAACATGTTAAGATTTAAGAGAACTAGAAAATAATAAATTGTCTTGAAAAAAATCTTTGTTGTCAAATTTTAAATGTGATCAAGATGATCCAGTGAAAGTCTATGCAAGAAACGACACAACAAGCCAATTTGGTAGAAGATGTTTTTTGAATTGAGTTTCACTGCAGCATTTCTTAACACTCCTCACTTAGAAATGTTGTCAAAGGCATTATTAGATGAACGAATTAGAAACATCAAATGAGATTTGAATTCAGAGAACAGCCAATCACAAACGAATTTCAATGCAAGCTGAGCATAACCAATACCAGAGTGTTTCAAACTGCTGCAAACTGAGTTCAGTTTTGATAGTTGCCAGTTTGTGTTTCAGGAAAATGACAACGATGTAAATCTGAAGTGTAACTGAGTTGAGTGCAACTAAACCTCTAATGTATTTTAAAATGCTGCAAAATGGAACCTTAGGCAAGAAATAAATATTGAAATTAGAATCATCCAAAATTCGAAAGAATTTATTTTAGACCCAAGCAATAAATGTATCTTTACCTTCATATCCACCTGAGGTTGGTTGCCATAGTAACATAGTAACAGGGGGAGAAAGAAGAGATAAGCAGAGAACAAAAAAATCAGAGTCAGCAAATAAAAGCAATATATATTGGGGTGTATTATGTCGTGAAATTTTTGTATTATATTGCGCTATAATGTGGTATAATTATGGTATAAAGGTCAAATATGTTAGCACATGTGAGATAAAATAATTAGTTTTTTACTTGCAAGTTGAAGCTAGCAGCAAACATTCAAACCATTTTATATTTTTAGGTTTCTCATAATAATTAAAAAAAAATAAAAGTCCTACTTTTCAAAGCCAAATAAGTTTGTTTGCATGAGAGACAATAAATTATAATTTATGTTTTGTAAAGCAAAAAGTACAGATTTAGGCTGTTTGTGCTTAGTTCTAAGAAACTATATACTCCACAAAACAAGGAGAAACCAAAGGATAAATGGGAAGTGCACTGTCAACATAAAATATATTACATATGCAGGGAAGTTAGTGTACTGAATATGAGGTTAAAGGTTACCCCTCCACCAATCACAGCAATGCTTTTATGCTTGCATGTGGTAACTGGCAAATATCAATTATAAAATAATCCAAAAAGAGAAACAATTCACAAAAACTGAAAAAAATGAGAAAAACACTTACTTCTGGGAATTGTAAAGTAGCCTTTTGGAGTTGGATCCCAACATTTAGCAACAATCAATTTTATAGGTCTATTTGAGAGATAAACATATTGGTTATGAGTGATGTGAATGACATGCAAATCACCATCTCACCCCTCATAGTTTGTCACTTGTAAATTGTTGCCAATTCAATGTATCACATACAGCATACTGGTCAATGTAACATTCCACAACTGAATGACCAGTATACAAGGTGCTACTAGGAGAAGAAAATAAGAATGAAAGACCAGTACGAGGTACTACTATGAGAAGAAAATACCGTACTCGACCGCGTCAGCGCCCAGGGGCCTCAACTCAGAAAAGAACGATTTTTTAGGGGTGGGCGCTAACCCGAGCACCCTCCCCGAAAAAGAGTGCAAATGAAAAATTTGATTCATCAAGTGACAGATTACGTCTTTGAGGGAAATCAAATTACGACATTAGTTGAGTCGTCATTGATTTTCACAACTAAGAAACAGAAATGATCACAAAAAATACGCACATTTTATTACAATATTAATTACGTACCACCAGAATTTACAAAATTAAAAACATTTGAGTCTGTTGGAACACAGTCGAAGTCAAAATTGTCAAATTATCTCCACTGACGAAGGTGTTGGATCGTACGCAAACTCTCGAACAAAATCACTTTCCGCAATGATGCATTTGCAGATTTCACCTGCAGCGGCGTCCTTTGACCTAATGGGTCAAGTTGGTTATTAACCAATCACAATGCTGTGTTGTACTGACGCAATTCTTTGGAAATTCCCGAAGACTTTCCGGTAACGCAATGCGGAAGTGAATTATCGATGTCGAAGTACGATCTGTTGGAATTGATTTCAGCGAATAAACGACATGGTTTTTCCAAAAAACTAGTAACTAGCCATTTTTGAGAGGTAAACTGAATATGGCATGAAATATTTACCGCATTTTACTTGTATTAACAGGTCATTGTCGAAGCGTAGTTTACGCACGGTTTTCGCATTCTACAAAAACGATTACCAAGATTCGTTACGCAAGACCAAGTTTTAAATTAGTTGCATTTTGAAGGGGTGGGCGCTTTGCCGAATGTGACCCCAAATATAAAAATTGCGCAAAAGTGGGGGGTGGGCGCTTGCCCGGGCATGGGCGCTAACGCGGTCGAGTACGGTAAATGAAAACAAGAAGCCTGTCGGCTGAGATAGCTCCGCTGTTAGCAATGCACATTTCAATTAAAAAACTGAAGATATCATTAGAAAATGAACAATATGTATAGTATCAAAGCAATCTGACTTGCTGTTTACAACAAAAATTTGAAAATATCACTTTTCACCAAAAATGAAAAAAATATTCATCAAAATCATATAATTGAAGATATCATCAGAAAATAAACAAATCTGAGAGAGGTCTACATGAGGTACCTATATGTATAGTACCAAAGCAATCAGACTTGCGGTTTTTAACAAGAAGTCAAAAATTTTATTTCCAAAAATTACAAAAATATTCACCAAAATTAGAAAATTAAAGATATCATCACGAAATGAAAAAATCTGAGAGGTTCACATGTAGTACCTATATGTGCAATATCAAAGCAATTGGACTTGCAGTTTTTAAAAAGAAGTCGAAAAGTTAAAATTTAACAGCAAACAATTTAGTTCTTACGTTGCATTGTTTCTTATCAGTTGAATCTTTCTACAAACAGGCACCAATGAAGTAGAGTTTACTTACAACTTACCCGGGTTTTTACTTCTATTCCATGTCACTTACAACCTACCCGGGTTTTTACTTCTATTCCATGTCACTTACAACCTACCCGGGTTTTTACTTCTATTCCATGTCACTTACAACTTACCCTAGTTTTTACTTCTATTCCATGTCACTTACAACTTACCCTAATAATACAGCACAATTATTGCTTGCATTCTCAAAGCTCATTTCTTTATTAATCTGTTAAAACCAAAGCATATAAGAGACCAAAGAGTCAACTCACCCAGGAGTTTGCACGGCTTCTCTCAACACCCGCACGGCTTCGTCATTATTTAAGTTTTCAAAACTTGTGTCTTGTACCTAGAGATGAAAACATAAGAGAAATGTGTTATTATTATAATTTAATGCAAGAATAAACTGGATATAAAATATTTAAAAATAAATAGTTCAATTTTGATATGATCATAAATACGCATTGAAGGCATCTCCTGTCACACTAGAAATAACCTCATAAGTGTTCATTTTGATCTTTATACTACTGAATGCTTTTTGTACATTTCATGGACTTTTCTGCAAACTTTTTTTATTTTGAACCAAATTTTATAATGGTTACCGGCCTTGATCAATTTTTTTTTAAAGATTTTTTTGGAAACAATTATGCCAATTTATATTGTGATAGACTTTGATGTTTCATTGCAAAGTCACAAAATAATCCCATTTATAGTCTGAACTTTCC